AACTGCTGGTGTGTGTTCGTTTGGACCAGGCTAACATCTGTTGTTAGTTCATCTGGACCAGGCTAACAGCTGGTGTGTGTTTGTTTGGACCAGGCTAACATCTGTTGTTAGTTCATCTGGACCAGGCTAACAGCTGGTGTGTGTTTGTTTGGACCAGGCTAACAGCTGGTGTGTGTTCGTTTGGACCAGGCTAACTGCTGGTGTGTGTTTGTTTGGACCAGGCTAACAGCTGGTGTGTGTTCGTTTGGACCAGGCTAACTGCTGGTGTGTGTTTGTTTGTACGTAGACTTGGAGTTGAGACAAAAACACAGTGTGTGGGAGAAGGCAGAAGAATAGAAAGATTCGATGTAAAATCTCCAACAATCCTCCACTTGAACCTGATGGTTTAGAAAGACTTGTCAACAGCAGGTCAGTCCTGGAAAGTCCAACTTTCTMTGACCTGCCTAAAGTCTGACTGGTGGTTCTGATGTGGAGTCGGGGCTGTAGATCCAAACACTGAAACTATAAGGTGCTCCAACTTATGCACAGGCTCCACTAACTGAAACCTTAAAATCTACCTGATCATAAAAAACCCACACTAACTTTAACAACAACAGAGAAATGCTGTTCCAACAGTTTCACACATTTTAACAAGAAATATCRAAGACTAGAACTGAGTCTGATGTGTCCAGGCTCAGGTCAGACATCAGAGTTTACAAGTGTTTTATTCAGGTTGAGACAGGAAGGACAGCTGACATCTTTCATGCAGGTTGACTCGCTGTGCTGACCCCTGAACCTGAAGAACAACTTTCTGAAGTACTCAGCTGTTGTTGGGGATACTAATCTTTATTTTGTGTGGTTTCTGTGAGTCTTGTTTATTTCTTCTTTAAGTATTATTCAGTCAGTGGCTCCTGATAAGGTCAGAGGTCAGCATAGAAAAGGTTTCTGAAACACACAAATCAAATCCTGCATCAGCAACAATATCAGTAATGATGTCACAGTGGCTCTGGGAGAGCTTTCATGTTCTGATGTCAAACCTGTCAACTGGGTCATCAGTACATCAATAATACTTTACAGTCCTGATGAAAATGATAAGAATTCATATTTAGCTCTGTTGGATCATAAGAAGGTTCTGAGTGACAAAGTGTTTTTTATCCCAACAAGTATTAAACTGAAACAGGCTGTTCATCAGCTGATCAAACGTTTAAGACCATTTCTTAAAAAATAAATTTAAACACAAATAAAATAAAAAGGCCTCAGTAATGATAAGCTGTCAACTCAYGATATGCTTGATGCTGGTGTTTCCAGGAGSCTAGAAGGACTGTTGATCYAAACGGTGGATGTCTTCATGGAGGACGTCCATTGTCTGGTGTCCATTGTTGTAAATGTCCCTTGTCCTCCAAGCCCAAATGTCCTCAGTCAGATTTGGATCAGAACATGCAGGATGCTTTAAAACAGAGAGGTTCTTCTCTGGAAGAAGTCCTGCAGGGTTGTCCTGTTGAAAAACCCTCTCATTACCACACAGACGGTGGTCTTCAGTCATAAGGGAGACCCCCTGCACCATCTTCACAGAGCCAGCTGCTGAGATGCCTCTGCACAACCTGAAGCTTCATTGTTCCATTGAAAAAGACCCCCAGAGCCCCTCCTACTGTGTAAAGAACATCTCAGGACGGTGAAGGTGAAATGTTTTCTCATCAGAGAATAAACCTGTTCTGTCCTTCAGTGTCCCTCCTGTAAACTCCAAATGGTGAAGACCACCATGTCTCTGAAGAAGCTTTCTGTTCTGAAACTCTTCTCCCACAGAGACCCTCTGATGGTTGTGGGACTGTTGGCACCAGTGATGAGCTTCATTTGGACCGAGGATCGTCCAGTCTGTGTCTTGATGGACAGATAGGAGCCTCCGGCTCAGGGCAGGTGAAATGATTTTGGGTCAATCAGTTGTCTTTTGTTCCACAAGCCTGAGGATGTTTAAAGAAGGTTAAAATGACCATCTTCCAGCGTCCACCCTCAGGACCAACAGCTGCCTGTGAGAGGTCAGCAATCTGTTTGACCAGAGAAATGTCGTCAGGGGGTCAGGACACGTGGATACCTGACAGACATGACACTGAACCATAAAGACTGTGGTCTTAAAGCTCTTATCAGCTGATAAACAGCCTGTTCCACCTTAATGCGTGTTTAAAATAAAAGATAAAAAGGCTKTAAGGGGCTTAACTGTCAAACATGGCAAATGGAAAAACAACAGAGTCAGCAGAAAATTCAAAGTAAATAAAAACAAAGATTCGATATCACAGGATATAACTTTAAAATGATCAACTAACTTAGAATCAACCAACTGATGACTGACAGACAGAAAATCAGCTCTTAGACAACAGATGATTGACATGTAAACAGTTGGGAGTCTGACTGTTGTCTGACTGTTGTCTGACTGTTGTCTGACTGTTGTCTGACTGACACCAACAAACGGTCAGATGGAACATGATGCAGTAATCAGAGACCAGAGTACTGGACTGGACCGAACATCTGGGCTTCAACACAGCTGCAGGTTGGCTGCTGTGGAACATCCTTCATTAAAGTAGAGCCGAAGGAAGCAAGGAAGGAGGGAAGGAAGGAGGGAAGGAGAAGAGCAGACAAGTGATTGAATCAGTTCATTTTCCAGTTGCTTGATAAATGAAGGAGGTAATCAGACGAGATGATACTTTCTCAGAAAAAAGTGTAAATTAGAGGCTGAGACAGACCACACCTGGGACAGCTGACTGTCTGGCTGTGCACGTGTTCACGTGTTCACGTGCACAGCCAGGTGTGCTGCAGGCACTGCGATGCTGTAGCTCTGCGTTCAGGCTGCATCTCCAACATGGTGAGCAGGAAGTCACTGAACTGAGCTGCCTGATCCAACGGCCACTCGTACTTCTCCAACAGGACCTCGAACAGACCCCAGGGCTTCAGGCTGGAGATGTGACGCAGCTCACCTGGGACAGGTACACAGGTAAACTGCATCACAGGAAGTCATCAAGCTTTACTGGGGGGTCACAGATACCCAGTACTAAACTGAGCCAGGGCTCCATCAGAACCAGCTTTTATTCTTCACAACACCAGCAGCTCTGAAACTGAGTCTAACAACAACTGCTGCTCTGAGAAAGACCACCAGACCTGAGTGGGCTCACGAACAACACACCTGTTTTATAAAGCACCTGGCCTCACCTGGCCTCACCTGGCCTCACCTGGCCTCACCTGGCCTCACCTGGCCTCACTTTGACTGGTCTCATTTACACTCAACACTCAGCTTCAGCATGAAGAAGCTCTGATTACTCAACCTGCAGCTTGTCAGCAGCTCAGGACACAAGGTCAGCAGCTCAGGACACAGGGTCAGCAGCACAGGACACAGGGTCAGCAGCACAGGACACAGGGTCAGCAGCACAGCACACAGGGTCAGCAGCTCAGCACACAGGGTCAGCAGCACAGCACACAGGGTCAGCAGCTCAGCACACAGGGTCAGCAGCACAGCACACAGGGTCAGCAGCTCAACACAGGGTCAGCAGCTCAACACAGGGTCAGCAGCTCAACACAGGGTCAGCAGCTCAACACAGGGTCAGCAGCTCAACACAGGGTCAGCAGCACAGGACACAGGGTCAGCAGCTCAGGACACAGGGTCAGCAGCACAGCACACAGGGTCAGCAGCTCAGGACACAGGGTCAGCAGCTCAGGACACAGGGTCAGCAGCACAGCACACAGGGTCAGCAGCACAGCACACAGGGTCAGCAGCTCAGGACACAGGGTCAGCAGCTCAGGACACAGGGTCAGCAGCTCAGTTTCAGTT